ATTTTATGTAGTTGAAGAAGAGAACAATTTGACGAATTCGAAGATATACAGATACTCTGAGAATAGACGATAGATTCACGATGTTTTGTAAGAAATAAATTATATTGGCGTTAAGTAAAGGTAATAACATTGTTACGTCTGGAGAAGAGTAAGAAATAGAAGAACTTGTACCTTGTGAACTATTTTTTAGCATCAAAATCTAATCAACTTTAATCCTCTGAAGAAGAACGAAGGTCTAGCGGAATTTTTACAAAATATCTCGTATATATGTAAATCTAAGCATGAATTTCGCGTCGTGAACGAAGATAAATTAAGTCCCGTATTTGTCCATTAGATCTATAGATCCAGGTGGGAATAGAAGCACGGTCAACGCGTATAGGTTACCGGAGTAAATAAATCTTTATTATGTCAGTGCTCTGGCCGTGTACATTGCTTGGCTTCTGGACGTGTGCATAACATTTGCAAATACACCACTAACGTTGATGAGCACTCAGGGTGTGCACTATATTAACGTGACGGGCTGAAACGTTAATCCAGATGCGTTGATAGCTCGAATTTATTAGCCAGCAAATTCATTATCAGCGAATACGCGATTTGCGGCGCGCCCCGAAAATCACAAGGGCGAAGAATCATTCCGCAATATCTATCGGTATCGTGCATAGCACCACGTTAATTATGTAGTTTAAAAGCTGTGTTTAAATCCGTTACGAGAACCATAGTTATCGAGGAATAACAAACGGTTTGTATACGGAAACTTATATTCTAAGTTTTTTAGAATTTTGCGTTTCGATATTTTCGTTTCAATTCGATACTTTAATCTATTACACGTGAAAATAAATTCTTAATCAAACATAACAGTACTGAGTAATTAAGTTAATTAAAAACAATAAAGCTTTTTTACGATATAAGACATTATGATATAAATATAAAATACTTGAGAAGGATTTTCAGATTTTCAATAAACCGATCATTGTGTTACAACAAATAAATCGTAGCTTATTATGCAAATGATATATGACGAAATAATGAAACTTAAAGAGGTAGGTAGATACAAATTATTTGTTTCATATTTAGAAACGTTTTATTTATCTACTATTTATTTACGACTTGGTTTATTCGTCACTTTTTTTACATCTTAACTTTCTATTGATTTGGAATACCATCGAAGAGTTAATGTTAATTTCCATTTTATTCTCAACGCGAGAATTGATTGTAATTTTAACAAATAAATAAAAAAAAAAAAATTTCCATTTCGCCGTAACAGTTAAGTTCTTCAAAGCATTTCCACGTCTGAAAACGTCTCCAACTATAGTAATTATTCATCTTTTAACGTAATCCCAGAGCAACGAAAAGTAGTAGATCAAAATCAGCGATACAGGGCGATTTAAACCCAACGCGGCCATTGACAATCATCAAACACCTCCGTGTAACACCAATAACGAAAGCCATACATCACGATTGCCACGGTTGGTCCTTCGATCCTTGCTGTCCTCGTCTTTCGCGTTAGTATCCCTCACGAACGCGCTCACATAGAAACTATTCGGCTAAATTCTGTTCAGGGAACCGAGATAAAAGCGAGGAGGAATGACGTCGTTCCATCGACTAGAAAATCGAGCTTTACAGGGACGAAGGTGGAGTACAGGTGGATTATTCCTATCAGGAAGTTCGTTACAGACTGATACGACGGTGAATCCTTTTTCACGCTGTTCTGCTAATTGAACCAGTTTGGTAAGGTGTCTCGTTCGAGACTTTAGTAGTCCGGCACCGTTGCACGAACGTGTAACGGTTGAACTGGCCGCTATTCCAATCGTCATAAATTGTCGTACCGAACGTGACGATCGTACCGAGTAGCCAATAGATGCGCTCGCCTGTCATTTGACCCCCGGTACCTTCTATTGGCGTCGCATGGCCAACAACCCTCTACGGAGGCCTTTGACTACCGATTCACCTACGCCAATGCATCTATCCGCCCGAAATGATCGAATTTCTACAGCACATTTCACGTTAAGTGTCTTCCCCTTTTATTACGTTCCTTTCGTTTCAACATTTATGTATGTGTGCGTGTGTGTGTGTGTTCGGGGTACATATTTCTTTTTGCAAAAAAAGTAGCGGAGGTTGATTCGGTACATTTAGTACGTTAACGTTAGTACGATAGTGGCTGTAGACAGTATAACATCCAGGTATATTAAATTTCGTATTATTTAGCGATATTTTCTGATGACTACATGCGATCTACGTACATTCCTTAGATATCAAATATTATAGTAAAAGTTAGCTGTATAAATTTTGATGACACATTAAGACGCGCATTGTTAAGGTGTAACAATTTTCACGTTTATTAAGAAAAAGGAAGTAAGAGGATATATTACAGTGTTACAGAAATTTATATTTAATCTACTTGTTTTCAAATTTGAATAAGTCGTAGCCTACATTGTTATATTAATTTGGTTTGTATTAGGTGGTCAGTGAAAAAGATCTTTCTCAAAACAACCAAGTCACTGCTGAATAAAATCTTCGATCGAAAACTTATTACACGATCGTTCTTTCTTTATTTATTTGTTTATTTTTCTTTTTTCTAATTTTCTAGATATACAAAGCCGATTGGATTTCATTGAAATACTCAGGTTTACAAGATCATCGTATAGATTGATCTCCGCGTTCCTTTTGAAAAAGCAGAATAATGCTCATTCCACACTGACGCTTAGTAACATAATCGGTACCGGCTGTAACGCGTACAACAAATAGACAAAACGTGGCGACCCGTCAATTAGGAAAACGGCCATTAATGCAAATGCCAACATTAGCCAATAATACGAGAACTAATATTATTATTTTACGGGAATAATATCAGTATAATTCATTCGGCTTAATCAAGAACATTACCGCCACTGTGTGGACAGAGCTATTTTCCGTGGACAAATTTAATGCCGGCTCGTTATGGCCTCTGCTCACCTGGTCCTCCGTGTTTCGTCTCCCTTTTCACCCTTGGTTCTCTCCCTTTCCAGCCAACGAATTGTCTGCGAAATCGAACGGCACGCGTATTCGGGCTGCGGAATTCGACGCACGTGTTCCGCGACCAAACGCTAATCGTTTAAAGTCACGAGTCAATAATTGAGTTATTACTTGCTATGGAATTTGCTGTCGACTGGCTGGCGGAAATGAATTTTCTCTTCTTCCGTGACGAGAAACGAAAGATAAACGGATTGAAATCGAGCGAGAAGAAAGAAAAAGTACCTATACGAAGATCACGGAGGGAAAAATACACTTTTGTTGATTTTTTCATTTTAATCTCGCTTTATGATTAATCCATCGTAAACTTTTCGACAAGATTTATAGCGGTTACAAAATGTCAAACATTATATTTATCATCCAAGCAGCTATGTTTATCGTCAACTCGTTTGTCAGCCATCAACGTATAAATAAAGTAGAGAGCGTTTTTTTAGATTGATAGAAGCTGAATAATTCTAGCAATGGTGTTTAAAATACTACAACACTTCGACGACTGTCGTGTATTTAATTTTAATATATCATTGATAAGATACGAAATAAAAAATTAATATTTCATAGGATGCATCCTATCTGTTGACTCCGCAAGGAAACAGTAAGAATTGCTTCTGACCATTTGCTTGCCATTAATTTATATACCTTATCGATATTCGTGTATCATTGATATAAATCGAATATAAAGCGTGTAGATATTTACGAACGACACGGTGTATCTTCAGCAGAAATTTCGATATTTCGATTCGAATTACGAAGCTTCGTCGAACACCTCTTTCCGCAAAGCCCGTGCTATTTTACGCGACGATAGAATAGCCGAAAGCCCAAGCACAGTTCCTTGGCCGCTACAGTCCGTTTCCCATTCAAGGCAATCGTTAATCCCATGGCACCGCAGAATTATTTGCCACAATGGAAGCAAGCCGCGACAGGATCTGGGCGCTTGCGCGAGCGAACAAGCGAGCAAGCGAGCGACCGATTCAAATCGCGACAATGACGGCAATGCAAATCCGGCCGTGCCTGCATCCTGAATAGTCGAGGCTTCCACGCATAGCTGGGATCACATCCACCTCCAACCCCATGGTTTCTGCTCCGTAGACTGTCAGTTATTTATTAGGGTGAACATTCATAGCAGCGGTGCTGTCTCAACCTCATAAATCGAGCGTTTAGCGCACTTTTATTCCTCGTCTATCGTCCCATTTTCGGTGTTCCTGGCATTAGTTTCGTCACGTTGTTGACGAGACGTGTACAAGCAGCTGACAAAATTGACTAGCGATCGTTACAGAGGCTCGCGTTGTGATGCCCACGGATGGTTGGCAGATACAACGGAATACAGTAAGACTGAGACATCTGAGCTTCAACATCTTAAAAAGTAAAGTTTGCACAGAAAAGTCAAATTATATATTATGAGACGCCATCGGTCTATGATAATCATACGACACTTTCGTTATTACGAAAATGATAAACATGATCGTTATGAATAACGAAAGCGATAAGTTGACAAACCGAGTAAAACTAATTTTTGTTTGATAAACTCTTTATGTTCAAATTCTTCCATTTTTGAATCACAAAGACAAGACTACACACACTGACAGACACATTTGCTCGCAGACACTTTCATCAGAAATGTTAATGCCAATTAGATAGAACACGTGTCTGCGGACAATTGCGTGTCAATGTACACTTAGCTTATGTCGAATGAAGAAGGTTCTTCTAAACTAATAGACGGTTTACTGCCGCCGGCTTATTGCAGGTAAATACACTTAAAATAAATAAAATTCTTCGACTCATAATCTCATCACATAGATAGAAATAATCTCACAGTTGTGGTAAGCACAATCGCCTTTGCAGATATATTCGCCGTCTAATACTACTAATATATCTTTTATAGCTGTTACTTAAAAATTTGAAGAATGTGCAGGAAACATAAAGGCGAGAAGAGCAGTTAAATCCTTAAATGCGTCCCTATGAACTAATTATTAAAAAATTAACAAATATTCGTGTACTATTTTAAAATGAAACGTTTTTCTATTCCTTTACAAAATATAGATACTTATTATCACTATAATAATACTGTTGCTCGTGAAGATATAAACACTCGATGATTTGCTAATTTCTTATAATACAAAAAGACACCTATATAACAAAACATTTCTAAATACAAACCTATCGCATTAAAAATTAAAGTCTTCTAAAATATTCATATTGTTCGATACAACGACATAATTCTTTGAGACAAATATTAAACGTATCAATTATTAATTACATGTATTTAACGTAAATATATATAAGAAAGAAGATATATATAAGATATATATAAGTAAGAATAAACAATAGAATTTTTTCAACGTGTATATAAACGACTATCTATCAATAATAATTAATGACCTATTGCCATCCATCTGCTAAAATTATTTATCACTTTTCTATCCCCTTTTTACAAAACTCACAATCAAAAGCATCATAGCTAGCTTCGTCGTTTAAAAGCCTGCTCTCAGGAAAATCGCATTACTCATGACTTAATACAAATCCCTAAGTACATATACATCGAAGTCCGATTACGTCACAGAAGCTCACTGACGTCATGTTCTCTAACCCCCTCTTTCGTAATCACAATCTTCGCAATCATTATACTCCGCAAGAATGGAAGAACGCGCGTTTTACTCTCCTGTTTCAACAACTTCGTGGATTACTGCGCACAATAGATCCCTAGATCTGTCGCAGAATTCGTAAATCGTCCTGGAACCGATTGTAATTGGCTGCAACTTCGGTCGCCGGCCCGGAACGCAAATAGACTCTGTAACCGGAGAACTCATTTATGGAAATATGCTGGTGACCATGCGTCCTATTTTTGACTTCACCACCGGACGAACATCTCCTTCCAGGCTCTCCCTTCCCTTTCTACCGTTTTCACCCCTTCCATCCTCCTTGTCCGTGCATTCTTCTCTCTGTAATAAAATTAGCCACAGTTTAATATATTCATAAACGAACGTGTTTTTTTTTTATCCAGCTTCGAGGTATTACATAAACTCAAGAATACTTGAGAATGGCATCAAGATCTCTATATAACGATCTAGCTATAAAATTCTATATTTCACTTTAAACGTGTTTATTTAACTGTTTAGTGATTATTTGAAAATCGTGTTGTTGCTTCTGTTATTCGTCATGTAAATGTAAAGATTACATTCAACGATTTTATAGCTAGGAAATGTTAAGTTTAGAAATGTTTCACGTGCTATACTTACATACGCTATAAGTGATGTTTACTGTCGGTACACGATGCACAGAATCGAGACAAAAAAAGGATTAGCTGAACACCAGAGCACTTTTTCCCCGGTTTTTACTGGTCGAACGGTGCATCGTCGTCATCTGCAAGAAGAAAATCTCTAGTTTATGAATCGTGGCTCGGCGGGGGAGACAAACGGGCCCTGGGAACGCCTTGAAATATTTTGCCGATTTAAATAAAGCTGGCGACCACATGGTAGTCACGACGGAACCGTAAATAGAAAACACGGGAGAGGCCACATGGACCTGGAAAGATGCTCGAGTCACGTTACGGTATACGTGGAACTGCCTCTATTTCTGGCATCTAGATACCAGTACCGGACTATAGCTGTTTAATATCTTTTTCCATTACGATGACCGCGCCAAACGTGGAAACTTCGCGTAACGTTGCATCGCGCACTCTCGAGACTTTCGACTGCTCTCCGTTGATTTTCTATGGAAACAAGAATCGTTTCTAAAGCGTATCAGAATGCACCGGTCGTTTTCCATGATTTCATCGAGCGTAACAAAATCTTGCTGTCTTCAGCCTGCAGAAACATGTGGTCAACTGTTTGATCAGCTGTTGAGCATGTCTCGCGGAGAACACCGGGTCCCACGACGTGTTTCCGGTTCGATGATACACCTGGGCGCAGCTCCATACTTCTTTACATTCCATACGTCACATTCACTATGGGAAGTAAGGAAGCACGGAACGGCATCGCCCGGTTCGAACGAAAAAATCGTTCGAGAAAATCGTTGTTCTGTTGGTTCCAGCCGATCGATCGTTCGATCGATGAAAATTGGAAACCCACTTCTCAACGACGAAGACCGGACGATCCTGTCGCCGTGACGGTACGCGTTTCATCTTCTAATCGGACGATTACGTAATCCACTGGTTTCGACACGGTCGAAATCCGCGCGTTCACGGGGTTGGACCCTGAAAACCGATACGTTTCACCGATCGGCGAGATACCTGATTGCTCGCACTTCCTGTTCGATTCGATTGCGGATCGGAACGGTTCCGGCCGGTAGCGTCGTCCATGTTGGACTTACGAGACAGACCGAGTCCTTCGAGAGGTCGAGGATATTCTCTGGTCGCGAGTGTTAGAGCAGCTCGAGTCAAGAACTTCTAGCGAATCCTCCTGACTGGTTGACTGCTTCAGACTGAATGCTGCCAAAGCTTTGGGCACGGTTGCTTCAACGAGCCCTCTAAAAATGGCCGCACAGATCCCATTGGCCTCTCCATGTCGTGGCCGACACCCCCCGGCACATGTAAGCTTACACTTGAGACTACCACGAGGCTTGCTTGCTCCCTCGTAGCGCATCGCGCCAAATTTGTCTTTACCCGAAAATAGTCAGTCCCACGGCTGCCACCACATGGCGACTATTCCTGGTCCAGACTCGAGTGATAACTTACCCAGGCCTCTGTCTCGTTCCTCGTGCTCTCCTCCGTCTCCCCTTGCCCGTTCAGCTTCGTTCTGCCTCTATCGTCTCCTTCTTCTTCTTCTTCTTCTTCTTCTTCTTCTTCTTCTTCTTCTGCTTTTCTTCGTGTTCTTTTCTTCTTACGGATCGCGATGCCGTACAAAGACGTATATACGCATACAGTTGCTCGCCCCTTCAGCTGTCACGGTGTCGTTAAACAGGGAATCCGAGGAGGACTCGATAGGATGACACGTTCAACCCTTTGGATATCGTAGCTTCGAGCTTCTACGCGTGAAATTTATGTTTACCTCGGAACTTATACCCGATCGAGGAAACCTTTTGTTTCGACGAACAGAACGATCCAACTTCCCGATCCTCTCGCCTGCCATTCTTAGCAACAAAATAACTAGTGCGAGCAGATGCTAGGTGATTCGGTCTTTCTTGCGCTCGCGGTTAGGTGATGGACCGCTATGGCCTCGCATGTGACAGGAATGGCGTCTGAGAAAAAGAAATCTGTTATGTTCTTTAGGCAAAGGAAAGGTATGTTAATTTGTTTGTCGTTTGTTAGAATACTTTTTAGTAAAATATAGTAGCTCGATGTGACTAAAATATATGTTAAATATCACTGCAAAATTACTTGAAATAAGTAAGACATAATATAAAGCAGAGATATGAAGGGAAACTTAAATATAAAATTGTTTTTAAATTGCATTTGATTGGACCGGCTGATTGTGACTAAAAATTAATTAGACGTTAATATAAAAGTGCTTACACGTATACAGTAAGAATTAATTGACAGATTTCGTTATAACTTATTAGTAAGTACTATGAGACGTAATTAACATTACTTAATCTTCATATCCATTAATTTTTTACAGTAATGTATCCGTTGATCACATCCTTCCAAACATTTATTAAATATAGACGTATAATCTAGCTTCATTCTACAAAATTAATTTCATCGCATTGTATTATTTTGAACATTGATTACACAAACTGAGTCAGATGGATAATGGTGAATACACTTACTCTGTCCTTCTTCTTATTTGACATTATTTATGTAGAATGATATTTTGAGTCAAATATTTGGCAACCACGTCTGGCGGAAGAACGAAACTCCTTTGCATTCCAGGCTTATCATATCATCTGCAATTTCATACGCAAAATAACGTAAGAAATAAATACTTCGTATCGGAAACGCAGCAAAATGTTTAAGATAAAAGGATAATAATTTCCTAAATTTTTCATTCTGAATTTCGTATCATTTTATTGTACTATCAAAGGATTAAAAAATTATGCCAAACGTAACGTTATGTATTCTTGTCGTATTTTAGAAATATATAATAAAAATATCTCTATAATCTTCTTTTAACATATAATACAGAATGTTCTTACCTATTTTCTTCAAGTATAAGAATATTTTTCCAATACGTCGATATTATTTCATCTCTGCTCAAACAACATAAGCAATATGTTTATATATAAATCGTTTGCTTCTAAATATTTTAACGTTATCGTCATGGAAGACACGTTGCTACAACAAACTGAAAAATTATGATCATACATCTCTATGGTTATAGTACAAAACTTCGTCCTATAAAAACAAAAGAACATGAGAAAAATGGTCAGAACTATATCAAAATAATTAAGCCACATGTGCCCGAACTTTTCGGTAATAATTTGTATACTATTCTCATTTTCCTTTTTTCTCATTTTCATTTTTATTTATATCTTATATATTGCGGCAGCACATAAACGTAGAAGAAGTCAACAAAAAATTGGAATCTGGGAGAGACCCACGTTATTGTGTCTTTAAATCCTAACGATTGTTTTGGCTTACAATGTCTAGAGGCAAACGAACTCGGGACAGATTGTTATGGTCGTTATTTGTAATCTTCAGCCGGAGTTACATAAGAACTTTAGCTTTTAACTTTTTGTTGCAACGTCGTTCGATATAAATGTATGAACGTGCTCCCTAGGACAGTTTAATTGTTATCCTTTGTGCGATCGGCATAATAAAATTGAGCGAGCGATGATTATAACTAGCGTATACTATCTCTTGTATTGATACGAATTTTAATACAACTGACTATTACAAATTCATCCACTCGTTTCTTACCAAACAATCTACACGTTCAATCCACCTCAATATGTATTTCGAGTTCATTAATTTTTACATTATCGTTTACCAGTTCTTACAAAATATCCATTTCGCTTGCACTAAATTATGAAATGAACGCAGTGTCCTATTGTAATTACCGTAGTATCGTATTATGAAGTCATCGTATTATTATAACTCCAAAGTTCGTTATTAACAAACGATATTCATTTTACGAATTGAAAATCCGATCAATATTTTAATTCGATACAGAAAAAGGATAAGAAATTGTATGAAACATTTGGAAATAATTTTCTTATTAAATCTTGTTAATTTCTCTAATAAAAAACGAATTATTATATCGGATACAATACAACCGATAACAATAAAGAAATTAGTGAAAGCATTTTAGATGAGAAATTGGTGGCGTGAAACTTTCATGGTGTCGATTCCAATCTAGAAGCTTAATAATCGTTCACGTCGTAAATTCAGGACGACTAAGATTTATACTAACAGTGAAAAATTAAAGGAAGACCGATGCATAAATGGCCAACAGACCGCGACGCAGTAAAAGTGTCAAAAGATCCTATTAATCCTTAATGCCTTTTATACGCGACATTTTTTAAAGAAATTTCGCCTCGTAAACAAGCCGTGCAACATACTTCCTCAAAATAAGTAAATTGAGCCCATTAAACTCCCTTGAACTATGGCTTTACGGAGCGTGTCGCGAGCACCTAATGAAATGTATACCTCAAACCGATAATAAAATAGCAGTGAAGCTTTGCCATTCTTCAAAGTTCCCTGTTACCGTTAAAAAAAGAAAAAAGAATTTCCACTGTATTTCGTTGCGAAATGATGTTAATTGTTCGATAAATCACATATACGTTGTTAGACACCACCTTATTATGGAAAGTTGCAGCAATGAATAAATTCACAGTGTCACGAGCAATTTCCCGTGCATTCCCCATTTTGCTTTAGATACGAACGTACAGCTACAACTCCGGTTATACGTACTAGAACGCTTATGAAAGCCTGAATAAATTTAAAAAATTAGTAGGAAATTATCAGAATTAACATTTGTTATCTAACATGAAATAATGGTATAATACTATAGCAATAATCTCGTCAATTTTTTTTTTTTTTTTTTTTTGATATAATAGAATTAATTTTTCTCTTGTTTATACGTATATGACGTATTCTTCGATCATTTTCTATTTTGATCGGTTCTGACGTTCATTTTATTAGCGTCTTTGTATTCGACTTCATGCACAATTTTGCAAAGTAAATTCAGATTTTGAGTAGATCGCCAGGAATTTCTATCTAATTCGTGTTACATTTTTTCAATAGGTTTCAAGTTAGAGAATTGTAGAAAAAAGGCAATGTAATTATTACAATTTACTATGTTAGTGTGATTCCTGCAAATATTTTTCATTTTTTTATTGGAAATATATACATAATCTCTTGGTAGATATATTCTTAAAGTTTTATTATACGTTGGTAATAATATACGTTTGTCGATTTCGATCAAGATCATAAATTATACAAATTTTCTCGATTAAAATCTCAGTATCCGTATTGCAGTAACGAATCTCGATCGGTAGCTCCGTTAAAGACTTATATTCGAATTGCAAGCTGGCTAGCGAGATCGCTTGTCGCAAGTATTATTTATAGAAAGTTATTTGCAGCAATAACGGTGTTGGCAAACGTCCAGCACTTCTACAATGTGATGTTATAGCAGCAATTAATCGCGGTTTTATTTGATAGTGTCGCGAACTCGTCTCTGATATCCATAGTTTGATTGCATTTTGTAGATCTGCGGATGTTTAAATGTTCTTAGAAATGAGAGAAGTTTTTAAAACAAAGGAAACATTTGATTCGATGAATTTATGGATTGATTTCCTTCAGAGAAATTGATCGCAGCTTGCAGTCTTTATATAGATGCAATATTTGTTTTTATAAATTGTTACATCTATCTAGTGCAACAGTATGTTTCAAAAAATACATTGGATATAAATGATATATTGCAAAATGATATATTATGAAATTACATGAATAAGTATGTAGTATAAGTACTATGAAGATAATTATTTGATAAATTGCTGTTATGAAAATGGTCAGTATATAATATTCAAAATATAATTTAGAGTACTTATTTGACGATACAGATTTTCGTCGTCTTGTATTTCTTGGCAATATTCTAAACAAAATTTACATATTCTTAGAAAGATATAATCTTTTAATGTGTAAGATGTTTGTGTTATCTAATGTACATAAATATCAAAAGTACATAGAGTGCTTTGTAAACGAAGTAGATAATGTTACCGTATCAATCTTGCTTAAGGCAACTTTTACATTCGACATATGAGTAGCACGAACAAATGTGCTTATAAGAACGTACAGTCAATATGTTATCATGTTAGAAACTAACCGATACAACTACAACTTTACATAATTGGGAAACTTGCGTCATCGATCAGCTTACTCCAACATTTTAATAAAATTACTGTATATATAGATAGCGTCAAGTTAAAGATCATGTAATAATATAATAAAATATAATATATTCGCGATACTAAATAAACAGAAATTTGTTCCGAGTAAGAATCTGTTTTATAGATAAAGTTGCAAAATTACTTCAACTTCTATCCCCTAGAAAAAAGAAACAGAACATTATAAGAAACGTTGTTGATTTTAGTTTTCAAAATTGTTCAAATATGAAATGTCCAGGATCCTCTTGCACATATCAACTAACATCATTACTGAAATTTTACAGGTGATAAATCAAGGCTATTAACATTAATAAGTTTGGTAATGAAACGAATGAGATTTTACAAGTAAATTTGACAAATTACAAGCCATTTGATTATCACGATTATTTAACACAAAATTGCAAAATTGTGGAAACGATATCTATAACTTACGATTATTGCTAACTCGTCAATTCACTAACGTTATTTATTGGTAACTTACTATACAGAAGTATCATGAAACGAAAGATTAAAGAGCGTCGTTTCGTCGCCATCGGTGAACCACGATGCTACATTTTTTTAGTGATTAAAATAATCACAAACATCAATGATCGAAATAAGATAAATTTCGTGAACTAAAAAATTGCCAACGATATGGCTAACTTAGATAACGTCGTCAAAAAAAGAACAGCGCGCAAATACAATATACTAGTCTGGAAAAATTAAACCTTATAAGTTATAATGTAGTATATCTCAATTTATTGCTGCTGTCAGAGCGAAATATATAAAATTCACGCGGCAGTCAACACGTTTACGGCTTTCCTGAATGTCGATTAACCCTTCTCGAGAAACGATGCTCCTGCTTTTCATTCTCCGCGAGTTCTCCAGGCTGAGTGTTATGAACACGTTGTGCAATGTTGATGAAAAGCGGTTCGGATACATCTCGACGAGTATCGTTCCGTTCTTCGCCGCTACGAACAGAGGAGAAATCCTTCAGGCCGCGTCGCGACGTCTCCTCCAGATCTAAAATTACTAGCAGCCGAAGACGATGCATTCGCGGTCCGGTGAGCCGTGCGAAAACGAGCCACTACAGGCTTACGCCCTAATACAGCCCCTATTTTTGGACGTCGCGCTGACGCCACGACGGAGACAACTCTTCGCAAAAGAAAATCGACGTTCATCCCCCCTCCCTGCAAACCTCTCTGCGTTTCTTCTCCTCTACACTTCTCCTCTATTTCTCAATTCGTTTTTCTTTCTTGCGCTAACAACACGTCGAGGAAACGTTATTATTACTTTTTCTTATTGCTCATCACGCTGCTAAACTTTAACTTCGATCCATCCTTCTCAGGGAGGGAGGGGGCGAGACGGGGTGGAACTGCGTTGCAGAAGCAGAATATTTTCATGGCTGATTTTGGAGACCCGGAATTAATCGGACCAGAAGAATCGAACGCTGATCGTTTAATCCTTTACACCGCGGAACTTTTCATTGTACGGAACGATCAGCAGCTTTTATAGTAAAACTTTTTGAAACTAAGGATTGCGTTCGGAAATAAGAGTTATAGGTGTGGATTCATTTATGTAGTATGTAGATTTATTTATTTGTTGGTATAATAAGTTCGTTCGCCTCTTGGTGTACACGATTAGAAAACAGTATGAAAACAATTGAAGAAATTTTGTCCGCGCGATTGTACAAAAGTATTATTTTGATTAGAATATAAAAAATGTTATGGAAGTACTGAGACTATATTGTAGAAATATCGAATTGATAGGAAAAAGCGTGATTTAAATATGCACTCAGAGAGATCTTTTCTTTTACATATGTAGCAGTTTACTTTAAATTTATTATGTGTGTTTTACGTTTATAGGTAATAATTATCAATTTATTAAATTTCTTTCTTTTCGTGTTATTTTTCAAAATCGTGACAATAACGTTTCGTCCCGTAAGATATTAAAAGGTCTTTCTACCATTTCCCCGATATTATGCAATTCAGTGATTAAGATTCTCCTCTTCAAAATGTATTCAAATCTCTCTAATGTATTCGCTACGTTACAGTAATAACAGTGAAGAAAATTAAATGAATAATTTGTAGCGTGTTATTTATGCATGACGAATTTACGAGCTAGTTGAATACAAACAAATAAAAATCTTATAAATCCATATGTAAATAGAATTAACGAGAACATGTCACTGAAAACATTATCGTCTGTGTACAATTAGATCGTTCAATTGTTTCATA